AAAATAATTAGCTATTATTGTTTATGCAACTGTTCTTTCAGTCTTTTAATTATTAGAATAGGAACATGCCAATATTTTCCACATCTACCTAACCATCTTGACAAAATGACTTACTTTTCCAAGAGTCAACTTAAAAATTGCTCAAAGAATAATTCAAATGTTGTTTTTATTAGTACAAGTGAAAATCAGATAGAAACTAAACTTTCTGTTTATTTGTATGTATGTATATTGTATTTACTTGGTTTGCCAACAAATTTGTGCAGTGTATTTGTCCTTTTCTGAAAAAGATGTTTCATACAAATGTTTTGAATTTAGTATTTATTTTTAAAATCATTCTTTCTTTTTATTAATTATTATTGCTATTTGTTAGATTTACTCTAGGACTTATGTAATTACCAAAAAGAGATGGAGAGCTAAAGAGAGGAAAAGTGAGAAAGAAAATCACCAGTACAGGATTTGAACCACATTTGACCATGTGAGAGTGCAGGGACTTAATCATTCTGACAATTTCTGTTTCCATGACTTAGAGTTTATTTAAATTATAAACGTATTTATAAACCAAATATGATACTCTGAGACTATATGTCTCAAAAGTGGTTTCATGTTTTAAAATTATGTCACTGTTTCTTCCTCCAGGATTTAAGCAGACAGTAAAAATACAGTTAAGTTTAAAATAAATAAATTTCCATGAGTCATGTTAGAATATTATATAGAACTTATTTTTTTCCTCATCATGAGTATTGCATGGAGGTTTTCAACTACAGCATCTGTATCTCTATGAAATAGTTATGGTCATTATGTCAATATTCTCTGATGTTGAATACATTCCTAAAAATCACACATAGATGTGATCAATTTTGATCTATGTTTTGTCAAGTATCCTTACTAAATATTTTTCAGCATTTCACTGTATTTTTACTAATGTAAGTAATTTTAAAAATTTGCCAGAGGGTGCATGTACTCTCCAGAGAGAGAAAAAGAGCAACTTTCATGGAGAATGGTCATGCAGCAATTCTTTCTCCTCCATTGACAAACATGTGTTTAGGGACACACACATTCTTGGTGTTTCTCAATTTCTGGATCCAAAATCTGAGCTACATGGTTGGCTAAGTGGAATCTGGCTACATCAACCACCAAGCCATGGAGCCACCCCAAATAATTTAATATCTAATGTTGTAGTGGCAGAACTCTCTAAGTAGAAATAACAATCACCCATGTACCTTTGCATGAAAACAATAAAAATAAAAACTTTTTCTACAAATTTTGCCTAATCTTGATTTTGAGAAGAAAACATAGTTATGTTGTGTGTATGATTTTTTAATATCTCAGCAGGGACCACCACATGATATAATGGTTGTATCATTGAACTCTCTCCTAGTCAACCATGATTCAAATCCTGGAGGGGTGGCTTAAAACTCACAATGGGCATATCTGCATGCCTGCTTAATATTCAAAGAGGAAAATGAAAAAGAAGGGATTGTGACATGTCCAAACCTCCTGGGGTGAAATTTCTCACTTTCTGTGTCTGTCTGATGAACCCATGCACCTAATAGAAAAAATTACTCAAAAACAAAACAAAACACAACCAAACAAACCAAAAAAGCCTCAGCATATGGTATGATGATTAGGATGATTGGGTTTTCTTATCACCTACCATAATTTGAGTCCTGGACTCGGTGGCTTGAAATCATGTTGGCCACATATGTGTGCATGCCTAACCTCCCAAGCCGATAATGGAGGAGAAGGGATTGTAGTATGGCCATCCCCCCTTGAAGGTGAAGTCTCACATTTTCATTTTCTCTCTCTCTTCTCTGATGAGCACCCATGCCCCATGAAAACAAACAAACAAACAAAAACAAAACAAAACAAAAAAACTAAAAACAACAAAACAAAACCACCAGGGGTCAGGGACCAGTGGATGACATAATGGTTACATTGCTGGATTCCCATTTAGTCAATCAGGGTTTGAATCCCAAATCTGGAGGTTTAAAACTCACGGAAAGCATGAGTGTGTGTGTGTATGTCCAACACATCCAAAAAAGAATGGAGAAGGGATTGTGGCCTGGCCATCTCCCCTGGGGGTGATTTCTCACTTTCTGTCATTCTGTCCCTCTCTTGCTGGTTAGTGCACATGCCCTATAGCAAAAATCTCTCTTGGGACCAGCAGTTGGTGTAATGGCTATGCCGCTGGACTTCCATGTAGTCGACCTTGGTTTCAATCCCAGACCTGGTAACTTAAACTCACACCAGGAGTATTTGTGTTTGTGCTCAAGATCCTGAGAGGAAAATGAAGGAGAAGGGATTGCACCAGGGCCATGCCCCTACAGGGGGTGGGGGTGGGGGGTAATTTCTTGCTTTCTGTCTTTCTGTCTCTCTCTGTCTTTCTGGTGAGTGCATACACCCAATAGCAAAAAACTCTAAAAAAAAAAAAACTCTTTAAAAACACCTCCATGGATCAGCAGGTGGTGTGGTGGTGAGGGTGGACTCCCTCATGGTTGACCATGGTACTAGTACCAGACTGGAAGCATGGAAAGCACACAGACCTGCATGTATGGGTGCCCAAAACCACAGGAGGAGAATGGAAGAAAAGGAATTGCTCTGTGGCCATACCCACTGGGGGATCATGCTTCACTTTCCCATCCACTTTCACTCCTTGATGAGTGCATGTGTCCTATGATAGAAAACTTTTAAAAATGAGGAAATACCTCCAAATATTCTCAGTAATTGTGAATGGTATTTACCTGCCAGGGAAGAATAGGGTGGTCAGCAACTCCTGGAGTTCTCATTTCTATTTTCTGCCAAAGCATCTTATAAAGAACTTGAGCCACTTTATGTACAGTATGATAGATAAAAAAAGCTGGAGTCAGACATGGTCATTATGTCCAAATTAGACTGCAGAAACTCCAGGGAAGAATTTGGTGGGCAGTCCCCAATTTTGCCACATAGTTATCCATCAAGTGCACATAGAAAAAAGTGAGCCCAGAGTTTACTGAAGTAAAAATCTTCTGGATATTGAGAAGGGTTCACTTTCTTGAGAAATTGTTTAAAGCCAGGAATTTTCCTTTTCTGGTTTGAAAATAACAAGCTTCCATGGAAAAAGTATGGAATATTCTTAAAAACAGCAAAAATATGATTCCACTGTGGGGAGTAGAGATTTCTCATGATCCATACCTTTCCCAAAATTAAATAGAATTCTATTACATGTCCCAGGTTCCAGACACTCCCTTCATCACCATGTACTATATAGGCATTTGCAGATGAAACTCTGATCCTCGTCCTAAGAGTTAAGTCACGTGCAAAAAAGAGACCTTTTGAGGGAGAGAGCTTTTCTGTAAAGACCACACAGATATCCTTTTCTATCATCTTTGTCTTTACATCCTGGAGGAAGTGCTCCCCTTGCATATCATCAGATACATAGAGCGCCACCCACGTCCAGCCAAAATGTAGCAACAACCAGATGATTGCATGAGCCAGAGAGCTGTCCTTGGTGGCCATCTGATAAACTGATGGAAATTGGTCTTTATCACTTAGGATGGGATCAAAAGGACCATATGTGACCTGAATAAGAAAAAAAAAATAACCAAATTCTGACCTTAGTGCAATTTTGGATTGTCCCACTTAAATGGAGAGGAGATATTACTTGATTTGATAAGATATCAATATCCTATACAATGGGATATTGAGTGAAGAGAATGCATGCTGTGGAAATGACAATATTCTGTCATTGTGAGCATAAGAAGACTGTTTTATCATCCCATTTCTTTTGAAAAAAGACATGTGACTAATCCAAATAACAGTATCACTCCCAGACCAGAACATATGAGAAAAAGTATAAGGTTCAATACTTGTTTCAATATTTACAATGGGGAGAAGAGCCCATTCCCATCTCCAGACCCCTGGCCTAACAGACACTGAGGCAGGGCCCCCTAGGCAAGTTCCAGCTTCAGGTGCCCCAACTCCCATGACACTCTCTCTGTCAGCAAAGTAGGCCCTTTTTTCACCCTTCTCTTCTTCCTTTTTTTGTTAATTTTACATTTCTCCTTACCCCACAGTACTTCCCCTAGCTTTCCAGCAGAGCTCATTCTTATATCCAGACCCCTGGCCTACGGGACACTGAGGCAGAGCCCTATGCCCCAGCTCCAGATTCAGCTGCCCCAACCCCTGTGACTCTCTCTGTCAACAAGGTAGGCCTTTTTTTTTCTTCTCTTTTTCTTTCTTTCTTTAATTTCCCACTTCTCCTTACTCTACAGGGCTGCCCCCCGGTTTCCAACAGAGCCCATTTCCATCTCCAGAACCCTGGCTCTTCCATCTTATATTGGCATCTCCTGCTAATCTTCCACACACCATAAGGGGCAAGACAGGTCCAGAATCACAGTTTTCAAATCCCCTGGTATTGTGAAGTTCTGTGGGATCCTCCCTGTTATTTAACCACCTGCGAAAAAGACTGCTCTTCAGACTCCTGAATATAATAATACTCCTCCTGTGCATACCAAATTGCAAAACACAGCAGAAGAGACACCTTGGCACACAACAGCCTACAGGAAAAGGGAAACACACTTGTTCCCAATCAAAGAAACATTCTCCAGAAAGGTATCCCACACAGTGAATAGCTCTCCCCATGGCTAGAAGTAAAAGAACCTCAGGTGTGAATAAACCAGGAAGTATGTCTTCATTAAAAGAACACAAAAACTCCCCTCCTTCTCTTGAAAAAAACAGAAGATGTTACTAAAATGACAGAGAAAGAATTTAGAACATTCATGGTGACAAAACTCTATGAGTTGGAATAGAAAAGAGACAATGAGCTATAGGAGATTAGAAAGTACTTCCACGATATGAAACAAGAAATGGACACTCTAAGGAAGAATCAGATGGAACTATTAGAGATAAAGTCTGATATACAGAAAATCAAAAACTCTCTTGAAAGTATTAAAAGTCAATTAGCCCATGCTGAAGACCAAATCTCTGATGTAGAAGATAAAACCTCAGACCTACAAAAACAACACCAAAAAGATAGAAAAAAATAACAACAACAAAAAAAAACACATGAGGATAATATACAAGAAATATTAGACTCCATTAAACGCCCAAACATGTGAATAATTAGAATCCCAGAACATAAAGAAACTAATAAGGGCAAGATAAATCTATTCCATAAAATCCTGGAAGAAAACTTCCTAAATGTAGAGAAGCATTCACACACCCAGACCCAAGAAATACAAAGGACTCTGAATAAAATTAATCCAAGAAGATCTTCCCCAAGGCATATCTTAGCAAGATTGGCCAAGCCCACAGACAAAGACAAGATACTCAACCTGGCAAGAGAGAAACAAGAAGTGACTTACAAAGGTCATCCTGTCAGGCTAACTCTGGACATTTTAACAGAAACATTGCAAGCAAGGAAATAATGGGAAGACATATTGAAAGTGTTAAGAGAGAAAAAATTTCAACCAAGATTATTATATCCAGCAAGATTATCCTTCATATGAGAGAAAAATATTAAAATCTTCTCAAACAAAACCTGAAAGCATTTGCCAACACCAGACTAGCTCTTAAAAAAATCTGAAGAGAGTTCTGGTCCAGGAAAACTAAGAATGAACAGCCAGAAATAAGAAAATGAAAGACAACCAAGACAATGGCCAACTTAAAGGTAAAGACAAGTCTGGAAATATCAATAATATTACATGTTAATGGATTAAATCCTCCTATCAAGAGACACAGATTGGCTGAATGGATTAAAAAAAAAAAAGAGGGGGGCAGCGGCAGCGGCGGCAGACCCTGCATGGGCCCCTGCCCGGGCCCTGCGCGGCTGGGGCTCTGCTCCATGTTCTGCTGCCTCCCCCGGGCTGGCGTGTGGCCTCCGGGCCTGTGTGTGGCCTCCGCACCTGCGCGTGACCCTCTGGGCCTGTGCGTGGCCGCTGGGCCTGCACGTGGCCCCCGGGCCTGCGCGTGGCTGCTGGGCCAGCGCACGGCCCTCGGGCCTGAGTGTGGCCGCCGGACCTGTGTGTGGCCACTGGGCCTGCACCTGCACATGGCCCCTGGACCTGCACGTGGCCACCAGGCCTGTGTGTGGCCGCCAGACCTGAGCCTGTGTGTGTGGCCACCAGGCCTGCGCATGGCAGCTGGGCCTGCATGTGGCCCCTGGGCCTGCGTGTGGCTGCCAGGCATGTTCCTGTGCATGGCCGTTGGCCGCCGGCGGCAAACTGAAGCCGCAAACACAGAC